CTTTTGCTAAATTTAATTTTCACCAAACACTTGCCTTCTCTACTTTTGCGTATTATGAAGGACGTGGTAAAGGAACTTCATAGTCGTCGGTGAATCTACTTCCTATTCGGTAAATTAGAGGTTCACAATGAACGAAACTGTTTACGGTACACATGTTTTTCTACTAAGTCCAGGTATCCATTTAAAGACCTTTCTGTAATATCCTTTTGTCTGGAATTGAATGTTTGATAATAATAATAACAATAAAATGACATCGGTTAGACGAACATTGGGAGACCTGGGAGTACTCTGATGTCAGTTCATGATGAAACCTAGAAAGCAACCGAATCCCTATGAACCAACACTTGAATAATAATAAAGCTTTATCTCAGACAATATGCGAACACATACTGCAGAAATTTGCAGCGTATTTAGTCCCAAAATATTCCCATTTCATACAGGATTTACCTGTAAAGTAATGGTCTGAAGTTATCATGTGATGTAGTGTTATGGCATATGAAGAGAGTACGAATTCTATAAGTTTTTTTTCATTGTCTTCAAGAATTACCCAATGTTTTGTTGAGAGCGAATGAAAACTGTGCGCCAGTCCGTGTAGCGACCATTTAATGTAATGGCATTATTAAAATAATGAGAAATGCAGAACGTTGTAAGCATTCTGATGGATGGAAATTCTGGTAGCCAAGTTGTTTAAGCAAGCTACCGTATCATCGAATTCTATATTGCGAATGAAGTGAATTTATTTTTGTTTGACTCAATCAGTGTATGAACAGTACTTCTAAGAGCATGCCTTTAAATAAGTTTCCACAAAAGTGTGAAAATCCATAATGGTAGGTCACTTATTGCATAAGAAGTAAAAACCCAAATATAGAAGACTTTACAAGGAAAGCTATGAACACCAGTAAATTTTATTTACTATCGTTGATAGTATTTCTGTTTATTTAAGAATTATAAATATACGTCTACGACTGCAAGTTCTACTTACAACAGAGGCAGTTAAAACTCAACAAGCCCAACCTGTGTGTTCAAAAGAAATTTGCGCCTTTGCCTTTGCCGGCTTTATAATACACATGTAGTTTTACAAACGATTTTCCCTTCCCATTATAACTATCTTTTGACGTTGTTATTTTATTATGATTACAATTCCAGCTAATTAAATTAACATATTCAGTGCATTTAGTGTCTTAAGAGCGGCGCAGGAAGGATGTGTAAGGATGATCACTTACAAAAGGAATTCGAATATATTCATGATTCCATGATGGGGATGGGCAATGAAGAAATAAATGAAAACTTTGGAAAGAACATTGGAGACTATGACAGTATGAGAAGAAAACTGTATTTATTAAGTTACAATTTAATGTTAACTTATCAAGTTAGACTTTGTTCCAGAGACTTTCCAGGAGTATACGAAGAACGTTTTACGCAGCAAACCTATGTTTGTCATCCTCTAGTCAATGAATGACTGAGACTTAGACGAAGGATAAGCTAGATAGTTTCGCCACATCAATTCAACTTTTCGTGTGGTGACAGTTATTTTGGGCGTACTACTAGACAACTTAGCCAACGTGTTGCTGAACACCTCCCATTGTGGTTTGGCAATGGACATCAAAAGCCATCCGTAGCTCCGTTTTATCACATTCAGTTGATGGTGGTCACTTAATGGAGGAAATGGAAGCAATCAAGGTAATTCATCGCATCCCACCGAATCTTTCCGATGGACTTCGTATTTCTGTACTGCGCATAGCTGAAGTGATGGTAATTCGAACTATTAAGATTGGGCATGAGACTAGCACCCTCATCCTGTAAAAATAAACACTGCTACAGAAACTTCAAACCTCTAGCTCGTAGCCCTTTGTTCCACTGGGAACATGAAGGAATAAAAAATAAAAAAGCCTAAACTATGCATTCAAGAGAGGTTCATACAGCTAATTATCCCTCCCTTAGCTTATTAAGGCCTAACTAACTGGTGACTTCTCTACTACCTCCTACTTATATATTCAACCCCTCTCTTGTCATCTCTTAATGTTATCACTTCTTTATTAAAACATAGTTTATTCACTTCTTTTACAAAATAACACTGTCTAATCGGTCCATTTGTATTTCTTAGCCTTTATCGACTACTACGTTTATCTGAACATTCGTTTGATTGACCACGCTGTTTTTCGTTATTCTTGTCATGACAGATTGCCTTGTTATTACTACCTTCTTAAATCCTTTGTGGATTTTATTTCGTCTCCACTTTTCATATAAATTCATTTGACGAGTAAATATGTATGATCAGATTGTGTCCGAAATGTATTGCGCAAATACTCACCCCACATTTTGCAAATAATCTCCGTCTTCTAATAACACTATTCAAATGCACAATCGTATCATCCTATTTACAAAATACAGTGATTGGTTTATATTTTTAATATTCATTTTTAAAGTTATGTATATTAGAGTTAAGAGTAATCAGATTTAATTGAAAACAATATTATTCACTTAAATGTGTTTTTCTAACTTATTTTTATCCTATGTAATCCTACTTAGTCACTCTATTCTTCTAGGTCATCATCCTGCTTAGAACTACTAGTTAACCGATCTGATGGCTTTTAGTCTCTTGTTTTCAATCCCCACCCCCTCCATATACCTATAACTGACAATTCTTATGGGGTGAAATAACCACATGATTGGTACAATTTTTTTGTAAGAACCTATATATTAGTGTTGAGCTGATGCTGAGAAACTATTTGAAAAGGAATAAATATATTTAAGTATTGGTTTGTAGGGATTTGACTGGTTGGTTACGAGACTTCATCACGCGCTGACATCAATCAGAGAACCATTGGAAAACCTTGCAGAAGTTAGGATTCATGGGTTGGCAAGTGGATTGGGTCCCAGTGGCTTAATGGTCTACGAGCTAGCTCGCCTTTTAACGAGAATGTCGTGGGTTTGAACCCTGGCGGTTTGTGCGTAATGCTGAAGAGTTTCAGATGGCTGTCCAGTACTCCCAGGTTTTCCAAAGGAAAATATTTCTTTGCTCAGTTTATTGTTTTTTTTCTCTAAATGTGCAAATGGGAATTGTAAAAGGACTATGAGTGAACTGATACTTGGACACATTTAGTCTGATGTGTGTGAATAGCTTAGCAACATGTCGTTTGCCATTATTTTAAAAAGAGCCTCTATCCTAGTTGAAGAACAGCATAGAGTTCTGAGAATATGTATCGAAATTTATACATATGTATGGTAGTTGATTTTTATTGTGTAATTTTGTGTAGAAATATTTCAAGAGTTTGTTGGTAAGGATTCAATTTGTTTCAAGTTTGATCACGGATTGATGTCAGTTAGAGAAGCATTGAAAACCTGAAGGAAGTACTGGACTACTGTTTCATCCTACTCATGGACTCATCATCAGTAGGCGTCCATCCCTGGGATTAAACCCTGGATCCTTTGGTTACAAGGCAAGATTGTAGACTGTGCAAGCCCACTGAGACCCAACATAGTGACCAGCCCATGAACTCCAGCTCCTACGGATTCATGACTTTTGCGCAAATGGCACAAACCAGTGTCATTTCTGGCGAGTATTTGTTCACACTTCCGACCGGGTGAATCTCACTGGTTACGACTTTTCACTAGAACCCCAAGCAATTCATCAATTTTGGTTTAGATGTTTCATTTTTCCAGTAAGTTGTTTTCTTCCAGGTAATCATTATAACACAAAAATGGTAATTTTACACTACCTGTCACTCTCTGTCAAGCTACTGTCATTTTACGAAACCATCGCTTACTTTCCTTCAAAAACTCTAACGTTCATCTGTCAATCTTAGTTAAACAGAGAGACATATCAAAATCATCTTACTATGTGACAGACTACTTAAACAAGAGGTAAGTAAAATAAGTTTGATCACGAATAGACATCAGATAACCGGGATCAAACTTGAACCAAATCAAATCGCTACAAACTAACACTTGTAAGTTAATCTGATTCTCTCTGGTGACTGGCTGCAGCACAAAGTTACCTAGAATTCTACTGAGAATTCGTGACCAGTGGGGGCCATCTGGTCGGCAATAAGGATAAATACTCACCAGTGGTGACATTGACTGGTGCCAGTCGCACTAAACTCATCACGATTTGTTAAAAATTCATGAGCTGGCCATTGGCTTTAGTCTCAGTGACTGAATGATCTACGAGCTTGCTTTGTAACTGGGAGGTGCTGAGTTCGAACCCTGTGAATAGATGAGTATTACTTATGAGTCCGTGAGTAGGACGAAACAGCCATCCAGTACCCTTTTCTGGTTTTCAGTGCTTCTGTAACTGATATCAATCTGTCATCCAACTTGAAACAAAACGAGTTCCTAGAAAAAAACTCTTGAAAGTTTTTGTTAAAAGGTCGATAGATGATTTATTCTTGCTGAAAAACCGGTAAAATGAAGAAAAAACAAAGAGATTCAAGGAAAGCAACTGAATGTGTAATATAAGAAATGAAATGGCACGTTCAAGTAGTTTATTCATTTATAGTCCATCACTTAATTTCATTACCACAGATGCACGTAAAAAGTTCTGTGACAACTTGAATTTGTTATAATTCGTCTATTTAACTCTAAAATCTTTTAACTAGTTCTTAAATGCAGCAGTTTGCTTTGGTTTGATTAAAACAACGTGATACAATATTAATTTCTAAAGTTATTTTGTCACTTTGACAGAAATTAGCTGGGCTGTACACCTCCCATACAAGTTGATTTTTGCATCTACTTTTTCGCCATTACTAAAACAAATCATAAGAAATCAAATTTTGCTCATATGTTAAAACCTATAAAAAGAAAATTTCATTCTAGAATAATAAACAGCTTTCATTGTCTTCAAAAGCTTTTATTTTCTTGTTATGCAGATACTGAATAATTTTATAACATCATTTATTTGTTCACTTTTAATCATATACGGATTATGTGGAACGCCACCGCCTACTGAGATAGTGAGTTTGCCTTTAATTGCAGTTAGTTACATATTGCATTAGAACTATATGGTGCCAGGCCAGTCTGTATCTGACAGTAAACGTCAAACTTTCAATAATCAAATGAACTTTATTGTCCACTATGCAGCAAATCTTCAACAGTCCTCCAATTTCGAAAGTTTTAAAGTAAGTTTGTAAGATATTTTTCAAGGTTACCTTATTCTTGATAATTGATAATTCTATGGACTCGTGACAGCTGGTGCCTTAAGTGTAACCATAGTAACTGTCCACTTCATAACTGTCATGTCAACTATGAATGAAGTGACACCATTTCGGTGGTGCGGTGACATGCAATTTTTTGTTAATCTTGATGTTGAATACTCGGTGTCAGTTGGTCGAAATCTGTAAAATGTAGATGGCACTTAGTTGTCGATTTATTTATGTAAAGCAGACTGGTAGGAATAAGGCGCTTGAAAAAAATTAGTGTGAAAGTTTCTAAATATGATACTAAATGATGACAGCCTAAGAACCGGTGGAAAGTTAACTTTTCTTCATGGCTTTTCATTCAGTAAAGAATTAATATGGTGAAGTAGACGGATTTTTGACAAACAGTCGTCTACTTCATTTCTAGGTGGACGTTTCATGTATAGTCTATGCTCATTCACTCTGACATTCACCTGTCTACTGCTCTCCCATATATAGCATGTTTCACATTTTGAACACTTTATCCTATAGACACAATTACTTTGTCACATTTTGGCAATCATATCTTTGACATTCACCAAAGTTTTCTCTAGAGAATTAGAGGGCTTCGAATAGACTTTAATATTATATTAAGCAAGTAGTCTTTGAGGTTGTTCCTCTCGCTATGGAATGGCTAACGTATATAGCCAAGATTTTTCCATTTTCTCTTTTCTCTTATTCTCCCTTTTATTGATAATATTATCTAGTAGCTTTTTCAGATAACCATTTCCAATCAAAATTTGTTTTAAATTGGATATCACGTTCTCCATATCATCATTATCTGTTATAATGTTTCTAGCTCTGTTAACGAGATTCAAAGCTGATGAAACTTTCATTCCTATGGGATGATCTGATTGGAAATTCAAATACTTGTTGGAATGTGTCGACTTTCTGTATATGGTAAACTTTAGTTTCTCGTCAGTTTGTCTTTTTACAAGACAATCAAGAAAGTTTAGAGTTCCATCAGCTGATTCTATTTCATCAGTAAACTCAATATATTTTGAGATTAAGTTGATTTCTGTTAGAAAGTTTTCTTTTTCAGCTTTCTTTATGATGATAATTGTGTCATCTACATATCTGGAACATATTCTAGGATGACAACTAAGACTTGCTAGTGCTTTTCTTCCGAGAGCTTTCATATACTGGATTGCTATAATTGGAGATGCTGGTGAATCCATTGCAACTCCATTTGTCTCGCAGTATAGTTTGTCTTTAAAGGTAAAATATATAGATTCTAAACAAAGTTTAAAGCATTTTATAACTTCTTCTATTGATAATGAAGATTTAGCTAATACTTCCTGATTGTTTTCAAGTTGGTATTTCATAATATCAAGTGAATCACATATAGGAATACCAGTAAGTAGAGAAACCACATCAAAACTTGCCATGATTTCTTCTTCTTCAATAGTTATGTCCATTACTTTTCTTTTAAACACAATGTTTTTAATATTTGGACGAATATTGTATTGAAGTGGTTTCAGTATTTGTGATATATGTTTTGATAAAGTGTATGTCACTGAATTGGTGAAATCAATTACTGGTCTTAACGGAACATCTGTTTTGTGGATTTTTGGCCTTCCTTAAAATCTCGCGACCGTGTTTGTTGTAGGAGCTATTGAAAACCCAACTGAATTGCGTAGTTTTGGTTTCAGTTCTCTAATTAGATTACATACTTGTGCTTTTACTTTGATCATAGTAGTAGACATTTTGTTTATTGGTACTAGTGCATATCGACCTGCTTCCATATGTTCCAAAGCTTTCTTGTCATAGTCATCTTTATTAAGAATCACAGTGATATTGCCTTTGTCAGCTTTAGATATAACAATAGATTTGTCTGATCTTAATGTTTGCAATCATGATGTTCGTTTTTCGACGAATTTCGGATGACCTGCTTTTGATTTGACAGGATACATCCAACCTTGTGAGGCAATTCAATAGCTTCATCATCAGGTTAAAGGGTTAATACAGGTCCCATGGTGAGAGCTATTTCTATCTCTTTCAGTGGTTTTCTAGTTATTTTAAAGTTTAGTCCTTTTTCAAGTAATACCATTTCATGTATAATAAGTTCTCTATCTGATAAGTTGCATACTGTTCTTGTGTTTATCCGTAGATTTGACTCTATTTATATTGATTATGAACTACAGATGGATGAATGATCATGTAAAGGATTATGGTAGAGAAAAAAGATTTCTGGAGTTGAATTTTATTTGCGTTTTATGTATGTCACTGTTTAAGTTAGCAACTACGTTTAAATAAGAAAACAAAAGGTTAGTTAATGAGAATGTGTGCAAGGTGGTTAGGGGAATGCATACGTACAGGATGGAGGGACATATCAAAAAGGCTGATGTAATAAGGTATTCATGAATTTGCAGACTCCACAGCAAACCAGTGCAGTAATAGTGGTTGGATCTGTTTCTGCTGTTCACAGAGCACCAGTTGTTTCTGGCGTTTGGAGTATTCGGTAACTGGATGCTCGTGGCAGTTTATTTGGTACCCGGTTGAAGATAGAGAAGGATTCTTCAATACTGGCTTTTTGGCCGGTTGGGACCAAGTGGTCTAATATCAAACTGTTGATGGTTTTTACTACACTTTTACTTAGCCACACCAGTAGGTGTTCCCAAGCACGAAAAGTCAAGCTTCTGGAGCAACGGTCAATATAACTCGCTCCACAGGCGCAGTTGAATTGGTGGATACAAGATATAATGATGAGCAAAAAATTGTGCTTTATCAAAATAAATTTTACCCATAATGGAAAAATATCCTACCACAGTGTACAAGTTTTATTCTTATATCAAGATACAAGAAGGAATAGAAAATGTAGGTACTTCATAATCATTCTTTTATTATTATGGATATATAACTGTAAGACCTGAAGATGAAGTTATCAAAAAGAATATTCTTTATTCAGTAGTCAGTCTACTGAAAGTGATTTCACTTAAAGCATATATGCTTAATATTTTACCTTTCTAGGCTAATGTAGTTGGAAAGGCTTTGGAACACTGGAAAATGGCGCTGTCTGTAAAGCATATCTCAAGCACCACATTATTAGTTCCTCGGTAAGGAATTATGTGTTTTTATAAAATTCTGTTTTTGTCTTTTTCATTGAGTATTTGATCTCGTTTTATCAAGTGAATCTGATGTTTACCTTTTACATCAGTAATCACATAAAATCTGCCTTTGTCGTGTTATTTCAAATAAATAAATTCAGTTACTTCCATTTGATTTGTTAGAATCACACTGCTTACTTGATTTCTGGTTCACCCACAAGTGATTTGAGCTGATGTGATTATTACTGTGAGATTGCCATTGTTTGGAATTGACATTATTCCAACTTAACAATAATGGAATTATTGAACTCCTCTTATTTATAGGTTTGTTGGAGGAAAGCACAATAAAGAGTTGCTGTTTAATTTACGTTTATGGTGAAAATGCTACTCCAATGCGGTGAGTAGAAGTTCTGTTACGGAAACTTCGTGAAGGAGCTCCATTTGGAATAAATGAATGTTAATAAGTATGAATAAAATAAAACAGCTATCAGTGAACATCAACCCTCTGACGAAAACAGAAATCCTGAAGGCAACAAAGATGCTAAAAACTAGAAAAGCAGCAGGACCAGACGGAATCCTAGCAGAAGCATTGAAAATGAACCCCGAGACATCAGCGGAGTTGGTGTGGAAGGAGGGAAAGGTACCTGTGGATTAGAAGAGAGGCTGCTTATTAAAACAGCTAAAGAAAAGAGATTTATGTTAATGCAAGAACTGGTGTGGCATTATACTCCTGTCCATCCCAAGCAAAATACTAAGCCCTGTCATCAGACATGCTCTGGATGAAAAGCTTCGACCAGAATAGTGTGAATTCGGGAGAAACAAGTCACGCATTGATCAAGCCGCAAGGCTACAAATCATCACTGAACACAGCTTGGGATGGCAGTCGGCTCTCTGCCTCAACTTTATTGACTTAGAAAAGGCCTTCGACAGCGTCGATTGAGAGGTGATTTGGCAACTACTTCGCTACTACGGGGTGCCATCGATAATTATACATCTTATCCAACAGCCGTACGACAATGCTGCATGCCAAGTAATCCACAACGGAAAACTAACGGAATTCTTCGAAGTGAAGACGGGAGTAAGACAAGGCTGCCTACGATATCCAATGATTTTTCTGATTGCGGCAGACTTCATGATGCCACAAACAGCGGGCAGCGAGGAAACAGGCATAAAATGGACTCACACAAAATCTTGTAGGATCTAGACTTCGTCGATGATATGTGTCTGATTTTCCACAAACTGGAAGATATGCAAACGAAAAGCAACAAGTTGGCAAGAGAAGTATCCAGACGAGATAGGACTTCAACTGAACATAGAGAAAACAGAGCTGGTGAAGATTCCTGGCCAACAGTGACAGCAGCGACAGCAGACAGCAATCAACATAAATCGGAAAAATCTGAGAGAAGCAACCTCCTCCGGCTGCCTACCTACCTACCTACCTGGGAAGCATCGTTTCAACTACAGGCGGACGGAACTGATGAGGATATCAAAGCAGCGAGGATCGAGAAAGCAAGGCAAGTTTTCATTAGTCTCAAGTCTGTGTGGAGGTCAACAGCACTAAGCATGAAAAATAAGATCCGGATTTTCAACTCTAATGTGAAGTCAGTCCACTGTACGGATCAGAGACTCGGTGCCGCGTCACGAAGGCCATTCCAAACGAACTACAGACAGTCAATAGCTATCTCCGCCCAATACCACTCAAGATCATATGGCTGGCCATAAAATAAAATGTCTTTCTGTATCATGGCTACACACATCACTTGTGCAATTAAAAGATTAACGGACATGCTGTGGAAATAATGGTTGTAAATCAATCTGGACGAAGAATATTCTTTTAAATAATTCTCCTCTTCAGGTTCTTACAGTTATAAAATTTAATATTTGTTGCCTTTACAG